TGATGATGATGACGAATGCTGGGTTTTTGTTCCTTTGCAGGCCACAGGAACTACTTCAAAGATGTAGAGATGATGCTGGGCTTCCCTCCTCCTCTCTTCTTCAAAGTCTGCTGGAGATTCATCTCGCCTGTGATTATCTCTGTAAGTGAACACACACAAGTACACTGATCTAAGCATAGACATCGTGACGAAATAGCTTGTCAATATTTTGCATAGTCTGCAGGATGTTGAGTGGAAGGTTCTCAACTTCCCTGTGTTGCTGACGCATTGTTATGGACCCGACCTACATTTGAGCTGCCATCAGTGCTAATCTTTTTGGCTTTGTTTCCGGTTAAAACCTCCAAAAGCAAAGCTTTCTGACTGGGAAATGGACACATGCAGCTGATATCAATGGTATTTCCCAAGCAGGCGTATTAGTCCACTAAGCTGCTGGGCTAACCAAGAAATTCATTTTTGTGGATTACTGGTCATTTTTCTCTCTCTTTCATTTCTTTTGCACAGAGTGCTGCCCTAATCATCTGCAACTTTTAAATAACGCTGTCAACGGTGATTTCACCTGCACTGGCTTAATTTTCATGCTTTTACCCACCTGTGTGACATATGTCTTTATTACTGTGTTATACATGCATTTTGCACACATTCAGGCTCTTTCTATTCTCTCTTTGTCCCTGCAGTTCATCCTGATCTTCACAGTGATCCAGTACAAACCCATTACTTACAATGACTACGTGTATCCCGGCTGGTCCTTGGCTATTGGCTTTGCCATGGCTCTGTCCTCGGTGGTCTGCATACCCATCTACGCCCTCTACAAGATCTCAAAGTCACCAGGAGCTACCTTTAGAGAGGTACAGCTTCCCCCGAAAGTCTCCTCTCCGTTCAGCTGACATAAACCGCTCTATAGTTCAATACAAAAGGCTAAATTTCCCTCTGAAGCATTTAAACAAATTTTCAAAAAGGTCAACGTGTTAAAACATTTTTGCATGCAAGAGCTGCACTACAAATTAAAGCACAAGTTTTAACATCATCTGAGCAACTGAAAAGCTCTCAACTGCATATCAGCTAAAGTATGTTTGCCGAATAATGGAGAGAGCTCTTTCCATAATTCAATTGCCCGTTTGCATTATGTAAGCTCTAAAAGCAGACGAACTATTAGTTTACACCATAAACGATGTTTAAATATCAATCCAAGCATCTCTGCTTTTGGCAAATTAGTTTGAGGAGGAAAAAATGTGTTGCTGGTGTCAGTTAGTGCTGAGGTCACTTGAACTGTCGGTTGAAATTTTATGATCCGTATCGCCGACAGCTACACTAGGAGGGAAAAGCTGGTTGTCATAGAGACTGGGAAAACAGAGGAAGGCACCATATGTGTTGGGTCTTCGTTTGGGGTAGAGGGCCTAAATGCAGACATTGCAGCAAACAGGCAGGCAACAATGAAGAAGATATGACGAGATATAAACAGAAAGATATGACCTCACAGTGAATACATGGCTAGCTTCCTTCTCGTTCTTTCTCCTTCTCTCTCTGCATGTCTGAGTCTGGCTCACTTCCTGTTAAAAGGAAGTTCTTCCTCCCCACTATCGTCAAGCATTTTCTCACAGGGGAATTTTTGGTCTACTGATGTAATACTGCACCACCCTTACCTTACAATATAAAATGCTGGGAAATTATTATTATTGTGAACTTGTGCTATGTAAATAACACTGAATTAAGAAACACAAGGGAAGTGACATATTTTTTTAAAAAGGAACAAGAATAACAAAAACCCACACACATGAAAATGAGCAGGCTATAACAGTGCACTTTTTTTATGCAATCTCTGGAGGACATTGTAACCACACTGATGCCACATGTTTGGTGCTATAAAGACCACAAGTGCTGCAGAACTGTTAATAACAAATGGGAGAAAGTATAGAAAGTATAATGTGTGTCAGCACAAAGCTGCCCCGCTGTTGGAATGCTGCAATTTCTGACAATTAGACAGGCCATAAATCTTGTTTAAGAGATGTGAATGTGCAATGGCAGCTGCTAAATTATCAGATGAACTAAAAAGCATGGAGGGAAAATGAAAGTTAAGTGGAGTTTAGTCACAGTGGTTATGTGTGGGAGCTGCTGAAGAAAGGAAAGCGTCACTTAATGAAAACCTAATTTGACTTCATAAGTCTTGATGTTTCTGCTCTAAAAGGCGCGTCTGTCTTTCTCTCTCAGAGGTTGAAGGCTGCGTGCCGAGCGCATCCAAAGTGGGGTCCTGCCCTCCAGGAGCACCGGACAGGCCGCTACGCCCCTATGGCCTCCGAAGACACTGTGGAGGCCCGTCCCTTAAAGGAGAGGGATGAGCTGAAGGAAGAACAAAAGGAGAAGGAGAAAGAGAAGGAGGAGGGAAAGGAGAAGGAGAGGAAGGATGAGATTAGCCTCACCATCCAGGGAAGCAACGGCTCCACCAACATACACAACAACCCCAACCCCAGCGCATAGACGGCTCTCCGCTCTATCGGCATCAGGGGGCAAAAGCCTCACACCTTTCCCTTTTCCTCCCTTCTCCTTCATCCTCAACCCCACTTTCCCACAGTCCTCTGTGGGGGAGATCCCATTCACTGGAGACCTTTACATATTGTAAGGGCTTATTATATCTATCCTAACCTCTTCTATCTATCTGTGTGTTGTCTCTACATAAGTGCAGAAAAACAAAATGAAAGGAAGAAAAAAAAGAAAAATTGGCTCATCACCCAAAAGATTTGTGCGTATGGCATCATGTGCATGAGTGAGTTTTTAATTTGTTCTACATAATTTAATAATATTTGGGGGGGTTTTTCCTTTCATTTTTTTTTTTTGTGAAACTTGTATACGTCATCTTCATATGCCATTAGAGGTACAGTAGATTGTGATGCTGCATGGTTATGTTTTTGTGCATGCAGCAGCATAGAGACACACACTGTTCTCCTTTATACCGTTAGCTGGTTCTGTTTGGGATGGGCGACTTTGTAGCGGCAGCTGGAGACTTGTTGTGGTGCTGTAACATGGAGGAGAAGGGTAAAATGTGCCTGTACGGGCCATTTACAGTCTGACAAAGATGGTAAAAGGCTCTGTTGTTTAGCCAGACAAAAAAAAGAGGCGAATACTCTCATTCACACTCATACAATCTGTATATTTTACAGCACACAGTGACCTCAACCGTAGTTGATCTCAGTTTAAGACTAAGCCTGTTGTTTTTTTTATGCTGCTTCTTCTTATAAAGGAAAAAAAATCGAAAGAGCACAAATATTTAACAAACACCCAAGATGACAACTGACACTTAGGGCTTATTTTCTCTGGAAATTTCCTCCACTGGTAACTTTTTTTCCTCCTACTAAAGCTGCTTAAACCTTAAGCAGAGAAACATCAGTGAGCTGTACTGTAACTCTGCATTCGCATACATGTGCACACATAAACACACATGCAATCATTGTTTTTAACAGAAGAGGTCCCAGTGCCCAATTCTCTGGATCGAAGCGAAAGTGAACTTTGTGGTTCCTCGCTAGTGGAAACCTTGCTTCGACTGAGTTGGCCTGTTCTAGATTTTAGGGACTTTCCTTGCTGTCCAAAAACGCATACGCATACACGCAAACCAGGTCAATGCAACTCCGTATATACAAGTATATAAATATATATATATAGAAGTGCCATCTCTTATTAAGTCTTCCAGAAATTCTGTTTGAGTGAAACTCATCATGAGATTTGATCTGTGAAGGAGAATCCAGGCTAGGAAGTATTAAAAAGTGTGCCGTAGTCTGTGTGTCCTATGGGTCGTAGCAATCTGCCCCATTCAGGCATGTTACCAAAAACATTTCCTAAGTTACCTGAGTCCTACACATGTTTTTGGTAACACATGTTTCTCAGAGACTGAAACGTCAGTCACTTACAGTCAGTGTAAACCTTTAATGTATTTACAGACATTTGTTTTTAAAAGCTCTGAGCCAAGCTGTGCTGTAACTGGCAGAGACGGAAAGCAGAGAAGACGCTGCTTCTTTCCAGAAGAAAAACCTTTTCATTGATGTAGTTTTACATATAGCTGCATAGTACTGTCTCGCTAGACGTCTCTTTATTACCTCTAATTCTTGTAAACTTAGTAAATAGTAACGACCGCATATGTTTATTTTGTACAAAAAAAGTGACACTACGGAATCACCTTTAACCGTGTTTACCATTCCTCATCTGTTACTTGACTTATTGTGGTTATGTCGGAGGGTGACACGCAGTAGGGAGTGGACTCTTTAGCATGCAGGGTGGGGCTTCCCCGGAGATCGGAAGGCCTCTGGCAGACTGCTGTAGAAGTGTGGTGTCAGAGATTTATATGGTGGTGTGAAGGAAGAACAAGGCAAGGGTTTTCTATTCACTCCTCCTTAGATGTTGTGAGATGCTTTTAGCTTGAAAGGCAAAGTTGTCTCTTCAGGTCCAGGTTCTTACAGTTTGTCAGATTATCCAGACTGGTTAAATGAGTGCTGTGATGTGCAGGCAGTGAACATGTTAGTATAATAAACCAAACTGTCTATTATATTCCCCATATTTATTTGTAGAAACCATATTCACTTTTTTGCTCAGAGTTGGAGTAGAATATCGATGTCAATCTCATAGCTATAGTTGGCTTACATTAGCATAACAACTGGACTACAGCTAGCCCAGCGCTGTGTCTTGGCTGGTGTCTCAGTCATTAACAGGCAACTTATTTCATTTTCGGTTTAAAAAAAAAAGTAATATAAAGAAGAAATATAGCAAATTCATTTTTAATTAGTGGCCATTTGAAGAGCAGGATGTGAATTTTTCTACACAGTCACAGTTGCCTAAGCTAACGCTGTAAGCTTAGCTAACACAAGCTGTAGTGTATTCAGTCTTTAACTTTTAGTAAGAACGTAGAGTAAGCACACTCCCAAAAATGGTAAATGATTCAGTACATACCTATATCTGATGTATTTAAGCACAATGTCACCGTGAACTGGCACATATTCTTGTGACTCTAGGAAAAGCGCAGGGGTAGCATTGATAGCTACATACTGCTTTATTGGAGGGCCTTCTTTTGACCGTGCCAGAGCACTTTCACAGTTTACTTCTACTCTTAATGGAACTGAGCCGTCATTAATTGCATCTGTGACCAATAAAATGTCAAGAAACAAGTTCAGGTCCCCACAGTTGTTTCTTCAGAAGCAGAAAGTGTTTTTTAGTATATCAGCGCAGTTGCTCCGGTAATCCACAAGATGGAGCACAAGATTGGGGGGTGGAAAAGTTGGCTGAAGAGGCTAAATATCCTGAAAGAAACATTAAGAGCACAGTGAGCATTCTAAGATGAGCACAATTCTACTGATCGTATTTAAGGAGCTTTTGCACAGGAAAGGAAAGCTGATAGGAAGCTGTTCTTGTAGATGAACTTTAGTTGGTTAGCCGACTGTTTGGACCCTCTGGTTCTGATTTACTCCTAAACTATCAGGCTACATGTGGTGGATTTTTTTTTTGTTTTGTTTTGGGGTTTTTTGGCAGGGGGGCGATTAGTGTTTATTTCTAATTAAATTACTCCAAAACCAGGTGCTCTGTGAAACGATACATTATCACCACCTGCTAACCTAGCTTAACCTACCACGTTGGATAGGTTAGGAAGTCTGCTTTATAGGTAAGGTCGTGCTTGCTGAAAAAGATGATGAAGAACTTGATTATTCTCAGTGTATGTCGGGACAGCTTGTAGCTCAGACCACGTCCTGTCTGTGATTGCCTGCCTCGTTGTGTTCATGTTGTAATAAGTGAAGATTAGCCAGCCTGCTGCAATGCTATCTCTATATATTTCAACCCTGGCCACCTCTGCTGGCCCCCGCATCTCCTCCTCACATTGTACAGTAATGTAAAGAAAAACGTATATAATCAGACTGTGCGTGTTTTACTTTGCTTTTATTTCTGGGGTGGGTGTTCATTTTTTTTTTTCTTTCTTTTTGGGGGGTTGGGTCTTGAGGGGCAGATATTGACTGAGGTTTTTTGTTGTTGTGTTTGTTGTTGTTGTTGTTTTCAGTTTTTATTTGGGTTTTTTCCCCCTGATTTGTAGTGTAATGTAGAAAATGTCGAGTGTACTGTGTATTGTGTGTAGTGGATTAGCTCTAACTGCTGAGCCTGCATGTAGAGCAGGCGTAGTGTCAGTATTGATGTCCATGTACCTCTAATCTAGTCCTACTCTGCTAATCATATACAGTCTTTCTTTTGTACTAAAAGAAGGACAAGTACATATTATTTCCTCTGATTTTAACCGTCGTTTATCCACGTTCAGTGATGCAACTTTTTGTTGGTTTTTGACACTGTATCCACAGAGAAATTCCGACGAAGCCAGCTGGTATTAACAAAAGCATTGCCAAACAAAAAGCTTTGTATTGAAACTTGAACTACAAAAGAGTGGTTAGTTTTTACTGTGTGCTCTGGTGTAGACAGTGGCAGCCACTACATGACAATGCTTTTTTTTTTGTTTTTTGTATGTGTGTGTGTTTAACAGTATTACATTGACTTTCATCTGTGCAGTGCCAACAGTCATACATCACTGTTTACTTTTAATATCCTGTGGCCCTCAGCGTGAACAGTTTGCCTTTTTTTTCCTGTGTAGTCCTTAAAAACAAAAAAAATTAATGAAATCAAAACACCAAAATTACTCAGCAACCACGATGGAATCGGCATCAGGAATACACAGTTTTTATTCTTGCGTGTAATGTTGTTTTGTGTGGAAATGTAGGCAAATTACATGGCATATGTTTCAGAAATGGGTCCATCTATTGTTTGGTTTTGATTAACTATGATTTCTTGATAACTGCATGAATAGAAAGATAAAACTTGACTACTTACCATTGCTTTCCACTGCTGGCGGCTGTGCAGAATGTCACTGGTGTTGATGAAGAACATTAGCTAGGCAAAGGTTTGCAGGACAACTGCTCCACTGTAGTGAAAAAACAAAACATTTTTTGCATTTTGCATTGCTTTCTCTGTGAATTACAAAACATTACCTCTTGTATTTCATACTACTGGTCATAAAAGCATAATGTCATGTCACAGCACTTTAAAGAGATCATGAGTGTTTATATAAGCAACACAATGTATAAATATATAATTACAATAATAACTCAAACTTCCATTTTTTTAAAAATTAAACAAAACAAGAAAAGTAAATCATGTCTGTTCAATGTTCTGGCTGAAGGACATTGCTTTGTTGTTGCTATGCCAATGTGAATTGTTTCATGGGTGGAGTGGAGGGGGAAAAAGCACAAGTAAAAAAGAAAAAATGAAAAGAAAAGAGAGCACAGTTCTTCTGGTACCTTCTATCATATCTGTCTGTGTATCTAACCATGTCTGTTCTTCGTGTTCTTCAACCTTTAGGGCCAAAATTCATTGAAATGTCTTAGTCCTGTCAGCTGTGTATCGTAAACTGTTGAATTACAAAATGATAAATAAAATCTATTTTAAAGATCACTGCTCGGTGTTGTCTTTTAAACTTTTGTTGATTTTAATGCACGTGCATTAAAATAATGCACGTACTTTATATGCACGTACCCACACACACACACACACAAATCACAGTACAGAGGCTACAAGATTGAAATATTCACATCTTTGCGAGTTGGGATGGGAATTGCTAAGAATTTAGCGATTCAGATTCTATTATTGATATCGCTTAAAGATTCAAGACCTTATCAATTCCCTTATCAGTTCTCATTGGCTCCACTTTGAGAGTCACCAGCATATCAAAGGCATTCATACAAATTAATTACATGCAATGTCAAATGTTTGAGTATGTTGGAGGTATTTCCCCTCTTTGTTGTAATCAGTGTTGGGGTTATTACTCAAAACAGTTACTACACATGTTATAGCCTGCAGACCAGGACCACCCGACATAGGAACAGTTTCTTTCCCCTCGCCATCTCCCTTCTTAACAGTTGACCTGTCACACTGCTCCCACTGCCAGACTGCAACTGCACCTTATGTACATTCTGTAGTATTCATT